GATTGTTGTAGTTGAATATTTGGCACCTAGGTCTGTTAGCATTTCTGCCACCTCTCCCTCTATAAGGTCCTGCTCTCCCTTGTCCTCTTCCTCTGAAAAATGAGGGTTGATTTATCCAGATCTTCCTTTATTACCATTGAAACCTCTTCCTCTACCTTGAGAGTAGGTAGTCAAGTTTGCAGCAATTTGTGAGCCCTCATTTTCATTAGAACTTTCAATACTCTCTATTCTGCTTTCAAAGCTCAATAAAATAGCATATGCCTCTATCATTGAACACATCTCAGATCTTATTGTGAGGCTCACAACCACAGGGTTGTACTCTTGGCCCAAGCCAAAAAGAAGATGAAGGATCTGGTCATTTTCTTGAACCCTATGACCAGTAGCTGCCAACATGTCACAAATCCCTTTGATCTTGTTAAAATACTCTCTCATTTATTAAGTGCAATGAAGTTAAGTAACTCGTGCTTGTTTAATAAAAAAAAACAGCTTGGCTCGTTCAATAAATGAAATTAAGGCTTTGCTCGAGCTCATTGATTTAACCTCATGAAAGTTTGACCTAGCTCGAGTCATTTACTTAGCCTATAGCCCAAAATGAATTGTTTTCTGACATATAATGTTCGGTCCTGAATAAATTTGATTCAAATTTTTAATGTGAAGCTTATAAAAAAAATCATAAAATAAAGTTTTTCGTGAACAAGTTCGACTAGACTCATTAATTAAATTCATCTAGATGTTCGAGAAATGAGTCAGACAGAGTTTTGCGCAGACAACTTGTTTTGTATGTTCTTGTGCATACTTTATGTATTTTTTAGTGATTAACTTGTACTCGTGTTAGCTCATTTTAGGTTTTGCATGCTCCATTTAGTCGTTTTTGCTCGCTTATGTATTACCATATTATTTTTGTATTTTTTGTATTTTAGTTCTCTTTTTATATTGTATTTTGCTTGAAAATCCACACCGGAAGTGAATGAAAAATCCACCGAAAAGTGTCGAAAAATTCAACCGAACAAACATCAAATTTTCTCGAAGGAAAGCGATATTTTAGAGCAACCGAGTATCGAGAACGAGCTAGGTTTCCAATCCTAATAGACATCTCGCGAGTCGCCACTCGCGACATGTCCAGGATGCAACCTAGGTTCCAGGACAGAGCCACTAAGCTCGCGTCGTGCACAGTCCATATACTCGCGACCTAGGCGAGGAAATTCGTTGGCCTCGTGAGCACTTACGTCGCCACGCGCAAATTCATTTGACAACGCCCACGCCCGCAGTTCTCATCTACACTCGTGGGCTAGGCGAGGAACGTGCAGTCTGGAAGTTCATCCGCACACCATCCGTCCGCTGCTAGCCACACTCGCGTACCCAAAGAGTTTCTACAGTTGGCAAGCGAGTTCTCTCGCTCGTGCCCTCGTCGAACTCGAGGCCTCAACGAGATAGTTGGATTGCCCTGCGATTTAACATTCCAGCACCCATCTACATTAGCGTGCCCGCGAAAACACATGATTGCCCCGCAAGTTCACATTCGGCAAAAATCCAATTTTGGTCCGCTAATTTGTCCATTGTCCACTTTTGGTACACTAACTTGTCCATCATCAAAAAAGGTCCATTATGTTACACATTTCATCAATTTTAGTACGCTAATCCCGTGGCCCGGGATTACGAGATGCGAAATCAGTTTTTTATCCTACCACGTCAACATCTTATCCCTCCACGTAGTTCCAATCCCGGTCCACATCATCTCGTAATCCCGCCAACTGGAGTAGTGTACTAAAACTGATGAAAAATGTAACATAATGGATCATTTTTGATGAGGGACAAGTTATCGGACCAAAAGTGGACAATGGACAACTTAGCGGACCAATATTGAATTTTTGCCTTCACATTCCAACACCAATCAGCACTCGCGTGCCGCAAAAACACCAGATTGCCCGGGGAGTTGCCTATTAAATGTGTGTGTTTTCATTGTGTGTACTAGCAGTAGTATATAAACAATTGTCCTTTTAGAGAGATTACCACATTTGCTAAATTTTTATTTTTAGATTTCTCCGGGAGTTGCCTATTAAATGTGTGTGTTTACAATATGTATACTAGCAGTAGTATATAAATGTCCTTTGAAGGATATTACTTCATTTGTTAATTTTTAATTTAGTTTTTCTCTTTCTTTGTAATTTCCTTTTGGGAAACCTAAGAGCTTCAAGGCACAATTTTTATTGTTTTACTCTCCGTCAAGATTGCAACTTTTCTAGTTATTTATACTTATGGATGCGACTAAAGACTTGGAGACTTAAAGTTGGTAACTTTCACTAGTAGAATAGTTTATCATTCTCAGAGGATAGAGCCGTATAATTTTGTTGTTAATTGTGTAAGCGAGAATTAATTAATAGCAGTTTATCACAAGTGCCGATATATTGTTTGATTGTATATTCCCGAACTTAATTTTGCAGTCTCCTTTCCATCTCGGGCCTTGGTGCGCTTATATTCCTTTTCTTTTTATTTTCCCTTTTATTGTGATTTGAGGATTTATTTGCACTCGATTTTGCTACTTGCTTCGATTAAAACTTTTAATTGCCTTCATTAGCATTAAAACGTACAAGCCTGCGAATAGAGTGCTTAAGACTTTGTTTTTACGATTATACTCGGTAAAACCACTACAAATACAACTCGGTTCAAATATCAACTTGACCCACAAAAATTTACAGAAACGCAACAGAAGCTGATGGGATGATCCAGCTTATCCCCTCAATAATTTAGATTTACAACTGTAGCAAAAAATAAGACAGTGGCATTACCCTAAAAATGACAGCTTAGTATGTGAATATATTGGGACGTGGGACTTTTTCATTTGATTATAATTACAAGTTGATTGATGAGATTCGAATAAGATATACTAATATACCAATATTTAACTACAATACTCGAGTTCGTCATTTTCTTTTTATCTTGGAAACTCGAGATGCCTTTTGCGAATTAGTACTTAATTAGGGTATGTTTATTTATAGATTTTTTTTATAGGAAAAATTGCACCATTGGTCCACTAACTTTCACCTAGTTGACTTTTGTCCTTTATTTGTTTTCGGTTTATAAATGGTACACTAACTTTTTTTTTTGGCAGCGTTGGTCCAAAATCATATTCCGGTGACATTTTGCT